CTGGTGCAGCCTGCAACCAGGGGATCCCAGGAGAAGCTTCCATTGGACCCTGTGCCACAGCAGGGATTCAGCAGAAATGAATGTAAAGTGAATGAGTGGTGATGCTGGCGACTTTCAACTGCTAACAGTAGTCAGCCTAGGGCTGAATTCTGGTTATGCACCTTCTAGCCTTGTGATCTTAAGACTAACTGAGTCTCAGTTTCCTGCTTTGTGATATGGAATAAGAGTCTCTAGGGATGGTGAGATGGACCATCAAGCCCAATGACCTGAGGTTGGTGCCCAGGACAGACAAGGTAGAAGGAGAGAACTGACTCCTGCAAGTTGTCCTCTGATCTCTACAAGTGTACTAAGGCAATTGTGTCCCCCCCACATACACAAGCAAAAATATATTGTAAAAATTAAAAAGCAGAGAAGCTACCATCAAAGAACACTGTAAGAACAAGGGAACACAGGGAAGTAGTCCAGGCACATCCTAACGTCCCTCTTGGCCTGTCTAACTCCTCCTCATCCCTCAAGAGTCGGTGTAAAGGTCACTTTCCCAGGGAAGTGCTCCTGACCCCTCTATTAGGTCAGGGCGCTGTCATACCCTTTCACAACATGTGATCTTCCTTCTTACAGTTCTTGGGAGCTCTGGTGATGTGACAGCCCTATGAGGTGTGAGGGCAGCCGTATGCCCAGCATCCAGCACACTGCCTGGCACATTGTAATGTGTGATGAACGCATGGGGAAGGGACATATTATGGGAAACAAGCCGGAGACACATGCCTCACTTCTGTTCCGTCCTGATTTAATCTCACTGCAATGATGGGGACCCTGAAGCCATTGGCTGTTACAGCATTTCGGTTAAGAAGAGGTCAGATTGTTCTTGTTTGGGACTCTGTAGCTTGGAAAACACATAGACAAGAGAGCCATGTGACAGGATGAACCCTTCGATGGACAATGTCCACTACTAAATGAGTGCATTCCATTCCATGTCTAGCAGCTCATTCATTTATCAAACACTTGCTGAAATGCCTTCTCAATGCTACAGTCTAGGAACAGGAGGTTAAGAGAGGCCTTGTACCTGCCCTTAGAGGACACAGATCCAGCAGGGCTGAGATAGGCAGAACATGGGGTGCGCTCAGGGATGTGAGAGTGTAGAACACAGAAATGTGAAGGTCAGAGTCCCGAGGCAGGGGAGACACACTGGACAGTCCTTCAAACCTCCATGCCCAGTGTCAAGTTCTTGGGCTCTGAGAGTGGCAAACTCCTTTTCCTCTCTACCTAAGCAGGGCCCCACCATCTTCTAATGCTTCCATGACAGCTAGCTGTTCTTTCTCTGACGCCACAAAAGTGGAATGTAGCCTCCCCAAAATGTATCTGGGTAATGTCCTGTCTGGCACAGGCCAATGGCAGGGATGCGGCTGTCACTGACTCGATTTCTCCACTCTTAGGCTTTCAGAGATCTCATTTATAAAGATCAACCACCACACTGCAAGGACCATGAGGCCACTGTGTGTGACCTGCTGGTGGCTTGGATTGCTGGCCACCATTGGAGCTGCTACAGGTCCAGAGGATGATGTTGAGGGTGCAGAGGATGGCTCGCAGAGAGAGTACGTTTACCTCAACAGGTACAAGCGGGCAGGTGAATCCCCAGACAAGTGCACCTACACTTTCATTGTGCCCCAGCAGCGGGTCACAGGTGCCATCTGTGTCAACTCCAAGGAGCCCGAGGTGCACCTGGATAACCGTGTGCACAAGCAGGAGCTGGAGCTGCTCAACAATGAGCTGCTTAAGCAGAAGCGGCAGATTGAGACACTGCAGCAGTTGGTGGAGGTAGACGGTGGCATCGTGAGTGAGGTGAAGCTGCTGCGTAAGGAGAGCCGCAACATGAACTCCCGAGTCACACAGCTGTACATGCAGCTCCTACATGAGATCATCCGCAAGCGGGACAACGCACTAGAGCTCTCCCAGCTGGAGAACAGGATTCTGAACCAGACAGCCGACATGCTACAGTTGGCTAGTAAGTACAAGGACCTGGAGCACAAGTTCCAACACCTGGCCATGCTGGCCCACAACCAATCGGAGGTCATCGCACAGCTAGAGGAGCACTGCCAGCGGGTACCTGCTGCCAGGCCTGTGCCCCAGCCACCCCCAGTCACCCCACCTCGGGTCTACCAACCACCCACCTACAACCGCATCATCAACCAGATCTCCACCAATGAGATCCAGAGTGACCAGAACCTGAAGGTGCTGCCACCCCCTCTGCCAACCATGCCTACTCTCACTAGTCTCCCCTCTTCCACTGATAAGCCATCAGGTAAGTTCTTCGGGGGGCCCAGCTCACACGGGCCTCTGAGCCAGGCTCCACACTTCCACTAGGGGAAGAGTCTTGTCCAGTTGACGCCAGCTCAGGACTTGCATAATCCCCTAGCAATCCCTTGAGATGGCTGCTGGAGCCAGTGGGTTAGCTGGGTGGGAGTGAGGGACTACACTGCTCCAATAAGGTGGTAGAAGACAGAACCCAGAAGCTAGCAGCTGTGGACATGTGTCAGCTCTGTGGTCTCCAGGAGGAAAGAATCTAGGCTTGGATATTTCGAGGCTTTGCAGTTGCCCTTAGTGGCTAGGGTGGCTCACCTGTGGGCCCACATACATGTGCAGGGCTCAGAGCTACTATTTTATTTTGTAAATGTCACCTGACAAGCCATAGGTCAGTGGGAGAGTGCTATTAAGTTCAAAGTGAAAGCTTCATAGGGGCAGAGACCAGAAGGATCTCTTCCCAAAGACTGTGAGTTTCCTTTGGTTAGTTGCTGCCTAGTTTTCAACAAGGCTTCCATACACTCTCAACATACATGTTGTGCTAAGCTGGGCAACTCAGGACACTGTCGTGGAAGAACGGAATCCATGGAGCATACCCTGGGAAGTGTAACCAAAACACTCCCCTGGGATTTTCATGAGAATCACCTGACTGAGCTTGCAGCTCCTCAGGGACAGGCTGAGTAACCCGTTCACATGCTGAACATGCTCGGGCCTTTACTTTGGGTCCAAGCTGGGACTCTGCTTCAGACTCTGACAATCCTCAGTTTCGGGGGAGCCAGCTACAGAATTGCCCTCAAGGGGGCCAAGTCCCTGGAGCTTGGCTTCTCCTTTATCTAGGCACTGTTATTTTCCATATGTGCTACCTGAAATCATCTCTGCAGAAGTTAACTTAAGACTGTGCATGGGGTACCAACTTCTTTGTTAGTAAGGAGATATTTTTACTGAAAAAATCCTGTTTCGTACCTATTCACACTTTAAAAAATAAATAGTAGTACTGAGCCAAACCTGTGTGTAGGAGGGTGGCCAGTGGGTAGATCAAGGATGCACAAGCCAGTGGTGGCAGTGGGGAGCTATGTTCATGGCACAGCACCTGTCAAAGCACCTTGAGGGAAAGAAAGACCTGGACTGGGTGTGGGGGTGGAGAGCAGTCCACTGAAGTGGACTGTCCTGGGTTGAAATCCTGCTTCCTCTATTGCCGAGCTCTGGGAAGGAGGCAAGTCATCCGCCTGTTGCTGGATTCCTCATCTAAGGCTCTGGGTAGGCTTTATTTTAGTGTGTTCCCAACTCACAGTTGTAGGACACAAAATACTACAGAGTGTGTGTGTGGCGCTGGGCCTGAGGGAACAGCCTCCTTGGACCAGAGTCTTTGCATCTTAAGACAAAGAGACTGGAGTAAACAGTTTGTCTTTGTCGCTGGTGTGCAATGCCTGATGACCGTGGTATCTGCACCCACACCTGGTTTCCATCAGAGGCGAAGGAGAGGGTGGGGTGTGTTCTGCGTTCTGACAGAGTACCCAGAGGGAAACGTGCCCTTGGGCACCATATGAAGGCTCAGATGTGCTTGCAGCCAGGCGGGTGTCACAGTCTCCAGATTGCCTTTCAACTCAGGATTTCTGGCTTCTAACTCAACCATCTCAGGACATTCCTGAGCCAGAACAAAATGGGGATAAACACCTGGATTTGCATGTGGGCTTCACCCCTTCCCCCTATTTGCTCATGAGAAAGCTATTTAAATTGGCTGGAAATATAGTTCATTTGGTAGTGTTTGCCTAGCATACATGAAGCACTGGGTTCGATCCCTGTGGTACATAAAACCAGGTATGGCGGCATGTGTCTATAACTCTAGAACTCAGGGAGTGGAGGCATGAGGATCAGAAGTTCAAAGTCATCCTTGAACTTCTCTATATATGGAGTTCAAAAATAAATGTACACAGTTTTCAGTTTTGAACTCCTCTGAGCCTTAACTTTCTTCAAATGAGGAGGTGGTGACAGCGCCACAGCCTCACAGGGATCTGTCATGAAAATACAATGTGCTATGATGTCATGAGGGGGTTGCCAAAATTGCCTGGGCCCTCCTTTGACTTGGTGAAAACTATGGTCCTGGGTCTCCAGGAACTCAGTGCAGAGGAAGTGGCAATTGTGTGAAAGTGTCTGGAGTCTACACTGTCCCCAATCACTTCTGTTCCCCAAATTCCACACAGCAGGTCTGACAAGAGTTCTCTGGAAGGGCCAAAATTTCTGGAATGCGGTGGGAATTTATGAAGCCAGCATAACAAAATACCAGGAATACAATGAGCATTGTCTGGCCTCTGTGCAAGATACCCCAGTGTGCTCAGTGCCTCGCAGAGAGGAAGATGAGGGACTATGGAGTCACTGAGGTGGCATGGCCAAGACCTACTGGAGGGCATGAATGGCTCAGAGATGAGACTGTCTTGCATCCTGAAGGCTTTATAAGTTTACCAGGTATACATGGGAGTTGGAACACCCAGTTACTAGTTGGCCCTTGATGGAAGTGGGTCTGTAAAAGTCCCAAGGGTAATAACGCCCTGCTCCAAGCCTCTCGAATGGCCCTGATGCCCAGCTGATTATATAATCCTGTGGTACCTGTGGTCTAAGGAAGCACAAGGCATGAGAGATGACCCGTGCATTCTCTGATGTCTCTTTCTCTTTCTCTGTGTATAGCAAAGCCTCCACAAACATTGGTCCATCTCACCACCAAGTGTCCACACAAAAGCAGAAAGAGCAGGGAGGAGGGTGGCAGTGGGAAGGCTCTACCCTTCCTGGGCTTGGGCTGAATTGGAAGGAAAAAGAAGATAGTCTCCAGCACTGAGCTTTGGCCCAACCAATGGGCAGAGAGCTTTATCAGTCCTTCCAGCCAAGGCAGATTCAGGTCCTGAAAGACCAACTCCTCTGTGTTCTCCCCTTGACATGCTGCCCGTCACTCAGCCAGAAACACCTATACAATTAAACCTTTGCACTCAGGCCATCATAGCCTTTGGCTTCCCTCTAGCAAGTTCAGAGCCATTGCTGTCTTGTGTGGCTGCTCAGGAAATAGCATGCCCTTCCCCAGACAGCCAAGGCAGCCACAGTCAGATAGTGACAGGCTGGCCCTAGGCCAGGGGGTACCTGCTAAGAGCTAGGATGAGGGATCCAGGTAGTTCATAGCCTAGTCTCCCTGGCTTCACACCTAGGCATTGCCCTGCCTCCCTCAAGGCTTGCCAGAAAGGGCCATTTTGGTTTGGATGATGCTTACAGTAAGGCCTGGGCTAATAGCCACCTAATGGCTCTTTCCTGTTAGGTCCTGCTGCTGTTGGAGAAGGCACAGGAAAGGGCAGCTGAGCCCACCCCAGGCAGCTGGCACATGCCAGTCTCTGGTCACAAAGTCTACTTTGGAGATGGCTAGGAAGCACGGTACTGCCGACCCCTGGTAGGACAGCATGGCCTTGCTGGAAAGAGGTTTTTAAAAACAACAGGCCCAGGCACTTCTAGCTATTTCCTCTCCTGCTTAGCAAGTGTCCTCAGGAATAAAGGAGGAGCCCTAATGTCATTAAATAGAACTGCTGAGGCACCTTGGTCCCTAGCGTGGCCTCCCTGTCATATAGCCTCTTGGTGCCGAGTAGGGATGGGTCATTGGACTTGTACTGAGGTTCAATGTTAGCCACAATTACAAATCTAGCAAGTGGCTCATCCAGGGAGCACCTTGGATACCAGTGTGGGAAAACTCTTCTAGGAATATTTGACTTAGCATCGGCCACTACAGACCTACCTTCTGTCACAGTTTTATGTGTATGCATGTGAGGGATTGCTTACAATGCCACACAAACACAGCAGCTGCAGCTGTACCAGGCAGAACAAGCCACTCTGCCTCAGTCCTCGAGCCAATACACAGCAACAAGGACACATACTTGACATCCAGGAGATGTGTATTTAGGAAGACTCCCATCAATCAGGTTTGGACACACCACTGGGTTATATGTCAGCCTTTCATGGACAGCTGGGCCTAAATTCCTGCTTTCATTACTTGTTAGCTCTCCATGTTATGACCCCTTCTCAGGACCTTACTGCTTCATGGACAGTGCATTTGCACACCACCTTCCCATCCTTGGACAAGCTGACCAAGTACACTTTCCTAGGTAGATTGTCTTCCCTGAGATAGGAAATATGCAAGCAAACCATGTTCCCCAGCACAACAGCATGTCTCAGAACTGACTCGTTCCCTCCTTTCTGCAGCTCACCCCCATCTCTCTCTCTTTCTGCAGCTCATCCCCATCGCTCTCTCTTTCTGCAGCTCACCCCCATCGCTCTCTCCTTTCTGCAGGTCACATGAATACCATGCAGAGAAAAGGACTGGTTACAAGGTGATAGACCTGGGGAGGTAGGATGTGATGCTGAAAGTGAGGGGTGACTGTCTAGCCCCGGTTTTGACTTAGACTTTGGGGCTGCAAACACTGAAGGGGGAAAGCCATCTGGGCTCCTGCCCTAGAATGTGTTGTTTCTCCTGTATTGTATTCTCCTTTTTCTAAATTGTTTTCTTAAATGAATTAAGATATCCAAAATTCATTGCAGCAGACATTTAAGAACATTCTTTGCTAGCTTCTGCCTAAAGAAAAGCCACTAGAGGTTCCGAGACCATCTTCCTCACATTCTCCCTCTCTAGGGGTCTGGGGGAACTGATCACAAAGAGCTCTTTGAGTATGAAACACAGCTATCCTGCCACCCCTTAGGCCACTTTCCAAGAATTATCTTTGAGTATGACCCACAGCTATCCTGCCACCCCTTAGGCCACTTTCCAAGAATGACAGTTGGGCTGAAGGCCCTGGCTATTTGCAGGAGATAAACTATTAACTTTGTGACTATTATAAGTTGGGCATTTGACATCTCAGGGCCTGAAAATAACAACAGTTTGGCATTTGGCAAGCCAGAAGTAATTGAGAAAATGCTGAAGATCAGGCATCTGTGGCCAGCTTGCCACATGAATGGATCACTGTGGTGAATGTACTT